TGGGGAGGTCGCGAAATTGACCTGACCTTAGGTCACCGATATCAAAATTCCGAGATATACAAATTGCACATACTAGTACCTTAACTAAACCCTGAAGAGAAGAAATTGATCGGTCAAAAACTCTAGCTCTGGCGTGATTGCAAACTTTTCTGAGGTAGCGTCACCAAACCGCCTCTGGTGACCTGACCTGAGGTCAGATCAACTCAGAATTTTCAGACATGTTGCGTAGAAGCCTTTTAGGAAAAGTCAGAAAATTTGAGCTTCCTAGCTCAACGCGTTTGGGAGATATAACCAAAAAACCTCAGGGGGGGGCTCCTGAGGCCCCCCCCCCCGCCAGGAATAGGGTTAAATTGATAATCGCTGAAAAGGCTTCGCTCAAATGTCGTTCGCTGAAATGACGCTCGCTCAGGTGTCGCAGAACCGTAATTCGGACACTGTCCTTCTTCAGTTCAGAATTGCAAATTAAATCATTTAGGACCTCCTAAATGATTTAATTTGCAATTCTGAACTGAAGAAGGGCAGTGTCCGAAATATATTCATTTTGTAATTAATTTTGGAACCTTTTGCGTTTCGCAATCATTGAACATAAGGTTATATTTAAAAGCATATACATACATGTATGGGTTTGCTAATGTCCGCGCTGTCCTTTTCAGAAAAAGCAGAATGTGCTGCTGTCACAGGCAATAACGACTAAAACACAGCCGTGAATACTATCATGTTGAAATTACGGCTATCAAATGACTTATTTTTATTTGCAAAACACCGTCTGAACTCATCATGGCATCAGGTAATCGATGAGTTTGTCAGGAGACATTGCATTCAAACCTCTCTAATTCCACAGAAAAGGAACAAACGCATCAACCAATGGAAATATCTGGCGGAAAGGGGGATCGGGTGTCGGCGAATACGGGGGGGGGGACTCCTGACTCCTGCACGTCTCCCTGTCTGAGCTGAAATGGAATATTTTATCACGCGTCTGGCACACCTTTGGAAGAAGCCACCGGCCTTGATGGCGTCTGGTGACACTCAGGTGTGACCTGCACGTCTAATGAAGGCGGGACAGCCTACCAAAGGGAGACCAGAGACAGATCTGTCACCGGGGGTTGGCGTGACGGGAAGGATATTCGTTATCTCGTACAGATGAATATTTGCTGAGTGGTTATGAATTGTTGTCGTCAAGTGAAGGGGGGATAATCTCCAGAGTAAATCAGCTGTTGTGTAGTGATGCTCTGTAATGATCACGATGCAGGGTTTTCCATTAACCTTTTCTCTATATCTTAGCAGTTGTCTCAAGCAATAGCTAATTAAAATAGAATAGTTATATAACCCCATTTTTTACATCATGCCTTTATTTTTTTGTGACCATTATCAGACCTGGCCAGCGGGTGACGCGTCGGCATATTATATCTGTGATAGTTATGCATGTGATTGCATAAGTACGTGTCATAAGTTTTAGGTTCCGTGGATGCATTTATTTATTTTAGCTCTCATGTTGTATTTGGACAACCATCGTTTTAACTTTGACTAAATGACTGTGCCTCTGAGCATGCTTTCTGTAGGTGATTTTTTAAAACAAGCAATAAACACATGATTTCACCTATTCCACATTAGTTGACCAGGGTGGAAAACTAAATCAAATAGCATAGAATAAATCAAATAGTACTTGTTTCAATTCTTCGAAATCCGCTTCCGTTCTTCCATGTAGAACAATAAGGAAAAACTTCTATCAACAAGGTTGTTTCGTTTATGTTTCTAGTTTCCACCATTCCCCCTGCCTGTTTTTCTTTCGGCTTTCATTCCTTCATCATTTTTTCAACTATCAAAGTACATATGTGAAATGTCTGTGTATACATAATCCAAATACGGAAACGCAATTACATCATCAAACACACCAGTCCAGTCATACGGCCTTGGTCCAGTCGCTGCGAGCCCCTGCTGTAATACCGCCAGAACACATCAGTAGCAGCACGCCATCAGCCGTGCCAACTCAGCCCGGATCCCTCCTTCCCAGACGCCCCGGGCGACTGTGGTCGGCCCGCTGCGGTCTGCCGGCGACGTGCTCCTTACCTAGGAGCCGCCGGCCGTGATGGATCTCGTGTCGGTATCGACGCTCGGTGAGAGGCCTGTCGATGTCGAGGGCTGCTACCGGCGCCGCCCACCCGGACTGTTTCCGGAGGAGCGGCGGCAAGAAAATGACCTGACCCGCGAGAACGGGCGGCTGGTAGATACGCGACCCGTGTCGGTAATGACATTCGTGGGCGGCGCGCTCCATCTGGAAGTCAATGAGGCCAGGTGTAGGTGGGAAAACACTGTTTTATTTTAGGCGAGTATTTGTGACGTGTTATGTATTCGTCCTTCCGTGGGGAATCGCTTAGTTTTATTCCGGTTATATTTTTATGACTATGCTTTTATTAGGAATGTTCTTATGATTAACCTTCCAGGCGGTGGGGGGGGGGGGCATTTTTTAGTTTTTAGTTTTTAGTTTTTTAGCATTTTTAGTTTTTTTTTCAATATATCTCGAGAACCGCTGCGCCGATTGTCACCAAAATTCAGTGCCCTCCCGGGAGCAGCTAGCGCACATAGTGACCATTTTTTTCCAAAGGCTTTGATAGGTTGGCCGCTAATGACGTCAGAGTGACGTCATTTTTGCCATTTTCGACCAAAAAAAGGTTTCGCGGGAAGAGCTGTCAGGCCTACAGCTTTAGAGATACAGCAAAATGTTTCGAACATAAAAGGTGTGGAATCAAAAGGGCTACAAAACTGCTATTACGAGTTTTCGATTTTTTTTATTTTGACCCCCAAAAATCAAAAAATAGATTTTTTGAATATAAAAGCAGAAAAATCCAAAAAGTTTTTTTAATTTCGAAAAAAGGAATATATGTGATAGTCCCTACCACCTTCTATCTACATACTAAATTTGAGATCGATACCTCTTTTTTTGGCCAAGTTATAGCAAAAAAACTGTTCAAAATTGATGACGTCAAATTTTCAAACTCAATTTTTAGCAATTCTAGACCTCGTAGCGCAAAACAAAGACCACCATTAGAGACTCCCCGTGACGAGCTGCATCGAATCGATACCCATTTTATGCAAAAATATCAACTTTGAAATTTGACCTTTTTTGACCTGACCTTGACCTGACCTGCACCAGAAAGTGACCTAAACCGTGCCTGATGGTCTTGTAACCAACACCATTGAGTTGGAATGAAAAACTGGCCATAAAACATGCATCGCATAACCTTAATAAAGTTGGGCTCATGTGGTGACCCTTGGTGACCTTTGGTGACCTGACCTGTGACCTGACCTGGTATGATCAGTGACCTCTAATAGCAACATATGTACTAGACAACTGACGCCTTATCGCTGATTTTCGACAAAATGCGTTTTACTCGGTGTTATAGCGCTTTCCCTAGAAGCCCCGTGAACGGTGAAACATTTTATCTTTGACTTGACCTGTGACGTCATCGGTGGCCCCGAGGTCAATGAAATTTGGTTTCTAACGACAAATTTGACAGGGCTATCGAACAAAAATGCCCCCCCCCCCCCACCGCGCGAAGGTGGCTGGGAGGCCCACCGTCTGCCGGGTTAAGAAGCGGGTAACACAAAGGTCGTAAACGTATGATGACTTGCCATTAAACGCGTAACCGGAGAACCCTACCCAAGTTAAAAAAAAAATGGTTGAAGTGTGTACAAAAACTGCCGGGAAGTCGACTATCAGGTACGAACGTTCACAATCCTCACTGTTGCATGGACACCATTACAGAGTCTGACAAGGAGCAGGGTTTATATATTGTAGCACGCGATCATATATCGTCGATTCCTTGCGATAACAGTGATTTGCGCGCTCACAGGCATGGTCGGCGCTCTTACCAATACCATCCAACACTTTGTTTGACACAGCACAGCTCTTGACTGAATCAGCTGACAATAAAACAGTCAATATACATTGGTTAACATGTTTTGATAATGCCAGGGTAGATCCACTATGTCACAATGGTAATGACAAAAACATGGGAGCAGAACCAGACTAAAAATGAAAAAATGATGCAGGTAACTGATGGTAAACGATACCCAATTTTATTGGGGGAGGCAACTGAAAAAAGGATTTGCTGGAAGTCTCGATAAGATGTGAAGGACTAACATAAAAGAATATTGAGAAAAAATATGTGAGACGCGCTTCAGCGCAACATCTTTTGCGAAAGCCTTCCTCAACGCAAACAAGTTTCCTTTATTTGCACAATATACTCGTATATCTTAAATGGAAATTGACGACACCGACCAAGGGCAAATGATAGCCACTTCTAAATTACAAGTGATATGAAGAAATGTACATCACATTAATGACACTCAACCATTTATCTTTATTCCAGATGTATGTAGCTAGAAGAAAGCCGTCAAAATATTCGTTAAAACAAACTGCTCGCAAGCACACACGTATAAGTGCTTCATACGCGCCGTGTCAAAACACTGCTGTTGTATCTGAAACACTTAATATGTGTTATACGAACATCAACAAGTCACTCCTTATTCAATGCAGCGTGACAGGTAAGTACCACTAGGATGATGTATTAAATTAGGATGCCTCCCATCACCAGCACTCCACAATAGTAGGTATAACGTATAGTTATCGAAAATACCGTATGAATGTCATTAGATTGCTACTGATACCAGACTGATACTAAAGGATCTCTGGTAGCTATTGGCTATCGGATGCCTGATTCTGTTGGACTCGATCTTAGCTGACCCTGAGGAAGAGCTGCTGAAAGAATTCGGTGCTTCTACATCCAGAATAAAGGCCGGCAAAACACTGATCATGATGCATCAATCATCTCCCAGACAATACGAACAGCGAAGGAATGTGTCAGATCGTAAAGACCGAGCTCCTAGCCAGAAACACCATGCACAGAGAAGCATTGTTTCTTGGTGCCTTTCCTTCATAACAGGAACAAAGACATTTGAGCAAATAACTACATTCAAACTAAAGCTATTGAACAATATTTTTGATCACATATTTAGCTATAACCCATAGAAAGCGCCTCAGCCGGAATCAAAGACAAGCAGCACTAGCGATAGCACCGCATTGAGCGCGGCCGACGACCGAACGACTGCTCCGAGGAGTCGCTGTGACCTTGACCCAGCTGAGGTCACAGCTCGGGTCGGCGCCGTCGGGCCCGGCTCGATTATCGCGTTACTGTGATTGGTTGGCACCGACTCATTGCAGTAGGGCGCTTGGCAGCAGGAGACACATGTCTGGAAAAGGCAGAAAAAGTTCAAAACTCACTTTCTGGTTGTGAAGGGGAAGAGCACCTGCAGATACAAAGCTGTGATAAAAATCGAATTTATGAGTACAATAATGACCACATGAATTTAAATTTCATACATGAAAACAGGGGGGAACACGTAATTCATGCTTATTGCTTAGCTTAGGCAGGTAACGTTACATTGCTACAATGATGCATGACTCACGCTCTGTCTGTCCTGCTCGAGGCATCCCACCAGGTCGGGCCGGCACTGGTCGGCGAAGGCGCAGTGCTTGTTGACCACCACGCTGTCACCAACACTGTCCATGATGTGCAGCGTCCGGCAGAACTCGGTACCTGCAGGCGAGGACCCTTTGTTTTAAAGTACGTAATAGCCGTTTTCACGACGGACTATCCGGCGAATGCTCCTGATTTGACCAAATCTGCACCTAATTTCTTTTACAGCAAATATCTTCATTTTATGAATTCATTTAAGTGTTTTAATCGATGATGCTCTCTGATAATATGACAAAACAGGCATATAAGCAATTAGTGCAACCCTAGCTGATAGCTGCTAAGAGACACACTGAACCTGATTTGACCAAATCTGCACCTAATCTGTACCAGATGTGCACCAAATGTGTACCAGATGGCCGTCGTGAAAACGGCTAATGACGCTGGTTACTCTATCGATACAGATCGTGAGATATCTCGTCATGATTGGCTAAATGATTTGGTCAGTACCTACAGCAAAGTTTTCATGTTAAAAGCCTATTTTAAAATGACTTTTGCTTTACAGAGCCTAAGATACATAGGTTTCATACGAAATTACTTGAATAGCTTATTAGCCCGGCGGCCGCTGGGGCTCCGAGCCACCCGCCGGCCGTCGGGGGGGGGGGGGCATATAGTTGCTCCCCTTTACTTTTGCGACGTTATCGTCGCAACACGAAGAAACAGAGAAGCGAAACTTTGCACGCATTTTTCTGCATACCTATCCGAGATTGTGTCCAAACTTGGTGTCGATCTAATTTGAAATGACTTCACAGTGACGTCATAAGTCAAATTATAGATTTGCGACGCTCAGTTTCCTCACGATATATTAGGTAAGTACATGGGACCGAATATAAAGGGCCGATTATTGGTCAGGAACTAGATGGAAGTGTACTTAGGGGAAGGAGGGTGAATTGCGCCACCTTAAGGAAAAACGCTAATTGTTAGAAAACCGCTGGAGATATAAGCATGCACTGGTAACCATTTCAAAGAGGAGCTCATTGGCTACGATTTAAGAGCCTCCCGATCAAAAAAGAATGTTTCGTTTGCTTCTGACAGCTGCTTTTTCAGAAACATGCAAAAGGGCGCATTTGCCAACAACTGCTGTAAATTGCGCCAGGGGGATGGCGCAATTAGAACCCAATTGCGCCCTATACTTTAACATGGCTAAGTGAATGAGACGGAATGCATACACCCCGGCAGTCTAATGTCATTGCGGCTTACTTAAACATTTATTATGTTATTCAGGCTGGATAAATAATAAATGTAGATATACATCGCGATGTTTCTTGCCCAGGTAGATAACTTTACATGTGTCCGTATACGCTTGTAAAAGTGCAACGAAAACGTGTACTGTAACCGACTAGATATATGTGAACGTATGCGCCTATTCAGTTAAATTTTCACTCGTTTTTCTCAAAATTAATAATTTGTGTCGTTATGACAACTTAATGGCATCAGTTTTTACTTTTTTTATCATAGCTGTCACTTCTCACGCCTGAGTCTATGTTGAAAATGTCGTATTTTGTCAATTACACCACAAGTCGTAGCCTAAATGGCAGCTGCATTATAAGTTTGACGAGAGAAATAATTTGCGGACTGACGACAGCGGGCTGCTCCCTTGCCTGACATTGAACTCCTTCTTTATTGCAATCAGTTAATGATGCATTCATACTGTCGTGATGCAATAGCTACACCATTATTCTATTTGCGCCCCCATGGCGCAATTGCCATGGGCGCAATTAAAATTGAGGTACTTTTTAATAAAAGTATAGAAGTTATCATAAAGATGTTGCAGGAAGTTTACGGTTTCAGTGAAATACAATGAAAAAAGAGTTTTTCTTTCTAAATATCACTCTGAAAATCACACAAATATTGAAAATTTTTATAGCCAACGGTTCAAAATACTGCAAAAAAGTTAAGAAAACGCCATAACATCTTTGATGGCGTAATGAGCCTTGCTGATTGGCTTCATGGGAGTGTTTGGGCCATAAAATGAACAATCCAGTGGTGAAAATAATGTTTTTGAACACAAAATTCTAAACATGCCATTGAATCCGTGGGAATGTTGGTGGGCGCAATTGGTTGGGAGGGCGCAATACACCCACTTTCCCCTAGATGTTTTAGGATGACAGTAGGTGCTGTCTAGTTCATTTACAGTTGAGGTTAGGTTACAGGATGTGTCCTTCCACTTTTAGTCCTGTCAAAGAAGATTTGGTGGCAGGGTTTTACGATTTATAACTGAAAAAGCCAAACAAAACGATTCGTCTAAGACAGGAGCCCCCTGTTGCGCAAAGTCATCAACGCTGGGCAATTTTACGACACGTTTAACCACGGCAATTTTACAAATGGACACCATTCCACCACTGCTCACACAAGTGTGGGCCACGAACTTCTAGAAGTCAAATTCAGGCAAAGAAGTTTTCATTGGGTGGCTACGAAACTTAGCCGAACTAATCTAGCATTGAGGAGATGTAAGATAGGATGACATCGCACTGAATATTTGGCCTGAATTGTTGATAAGATCATTTTCTCTTTTTCCTAAGACATTTGCGCTTACGTGAGTCTTTTGTAATCATTTGTTTACAGATGTTTCATGGATTTTGCACAATGCACATGCTGACCAGCACATTTTTTGTGGGTGTTAAAAGGTTTGTTTTATGAAACTCCTTACATCTCAAATTTATTTTAAGAAATTACCGCCCTTTGCAACGTCAGTAAGGGTAACCAGTTTCTCTTCTGCATCGTCCCACATAATGACCAACAAACACCCCCAGCATATTGCATTCCGCAAAGAAACTGCGTGAACCAACTCAACGAACTGCCCTTCGTTTCAGAAGTTTAAACTTCTTCGAACGTTCGAGCAGCTTCAGTCCATCCTTTCTCCGCGGCTGAGACAATGAACCCCCTGACCCCTGACCACCCTCCCCTCTGACCCCTCACCCTACAGCGCACCTGCCTTCTCCCATCCCCTCCCCTTCTCCTCCTCGACCTTACCGATCCCGTCGCGCGGATGAGCCCTCTAAGTTACGACCTGGCGGAAACGAGCCAGTAGCAAGCTGAGCCCACCGGCCGGGCACGTGCCTCAGTTTCAAGCGCGGGCCCGTGCAGGCCAATACTGTTCACGTGAGCTGAGAGCCAATCAGGGCCCGGTGCGGCCTGGGCCAATCTCTGCAAACGAGCGGCCGACCCAGGTGGGAGAGCCCCTCCGGCGCGATCGGTGTGAAAACACGCGGCTGGCCGGACGGCACGGAGCCGACACACAGATTGCCGTGAATTATTCATTGTCTGGAGGCGAACAGATTGGGACCGGACATTCGCCGCCATCGGTGACGATTGCTGTTTGGTCTGTGCAATATTGCTGCAAGCGGATCCTATTTAGATAACACACCGCATTGAATGGACCATTGTGGGTGGTGTCTTCTGAAGGGCAGCCACTGTAAAGAACAAATGAACAAAGCTATAAAACTTTTTTCTTTAAAAAAAAATATACCGAAGCTTGCAATTAGAGTAATTGATTTTATGGCGCATATATTGGAAGAAGGATTACCAAAGATGTGACCAGTGTATAGTAGGGAGTATTTTTATCGCCTTATCAGATATTTTCCTATTCCTGCCTCCCCACCGTCCGTTCAGCATACCCAAAGAGTTGTCGGCGGCCGGCCGGTGCGCTCCTCATCTATTATCACTGATCGCCACTGGGTGATCAATCGCTGCGGAGAACGTGCCACAGAGCAGGGCACCTAAACGGCGGGCGCCGCCACAGGGGCCCGCTCTGCCATATAGGGGTGGGCGGAGAGTCCGAGGTGGTGGGCCACGCGCTGTAGTCGAGTGCAGTGCGATCAGAGGGATGTAAGGTCGGCTCTCTAACATGGAACCTCAGCTTCAAAATGTCACAGCTTGGAGATGGAAATAGCGTATTAACCCTATTAGTGGCAGGCTCCTGGCTACCCCTATTAGTGGCAGGGGGGGGCTGTTTACGACCCCCCTTGATATCTCGAGATCTAGCGGGCCGATTTTCAAAATTCAAACGGCATTCGATTTCGCTCAACGTGATTTACATTTCTAAAAAATACAAATTAAAAAATGTCAACGGGGGGGGGTAGAGGGGGAGCAAAAACGGGCAAATTGCAGATACATTTTAGACTGTTTATCACGGCCAGGTTTCTGAACCAATCTTAGTGCAACTTTTGCCGATCGATAGAGAATGAACCAGGAATTCACATGGATCCTAAAAATATGCATTTTCAAAGATCATAGGCGGATACAGATCATTGAGATTGGGGGTACACAAAAAGTATAGTAAATAAGGTTTTTGTTGGTACTGTTTCTAAAAAGGGTGGTAATGGTCTTGTTGTGTTACAATTTCCTTATGAGAGAACGACTACAATTGTATTGGTCATGCATAGGCGGTGTCAGGGCACCTATGTTGGGAGGTAAAACATAACCCCCCTTTTTGGACGCCTGGATCCGCCTATTATAGCAAAAACGTGTCAAAAGAGGATGCACAATAACTTTGTATTTGTTATCACATGATATCTTTTATTCACTGTTCGTAAAACTGGTGCAGCATCGTGAACTTCGCCCAAATGACTCGCTTCACGAATAGGACCCCCCAATTCCCACACACAGAAAAATATTAACACCGTTAGCGGTGTAATTGCACAGTACATATCTGAGCACTTGAGGAAAGTTAATTTAGTCCCTTCCCCGCTTAAATTACTCGCGCTTCTAAATGAACACCAGGAAGAAGGTAATAGAACACTGTTAGGAGGGTTGGGTGTTTTACTACATGTAGCAAAACACCCAACCCTCCTAACAGTGTTCTATTACCTTCTCCCTGGTGTTCATTTAGAAGCGCGAGTAATTTAAGCGGGGAAGGGACTAAATTAACTTTCCTCAAGTGCTCAGATATGTACTGTGCAATTACACCGCTAACGGTGTTAATATTTTTCTGTGTGCAGTGCTCTGGAGCCGCCCCTGGTAAAGTTATGAACTTGAAATTTTCAGGGAATGTGCCCAATTTAGTTTTAGGAAAAGTCAGAAAATTTCAGCATCGTAGCTTCAGCGGTTTCGGAGATATTCCCGAAAAACCTGAGGGGTGGATAAACCCCCCCCCCCTGCCACTGGTTAATGAAGTGATTGCAAGCGTCAAGTTAAAATTAAGCTAGAACTCACCTGGCGGACAAGGCATGTCGATGGCGAACCGGTTGCAGATGTAGTTATTCTGCACGTTCTCACAAAAATAGCACGATAGCGGGTTCACTGAAAAGCAGAATAAAGCTATGTCAAAAGACGTTCAAAAGTATAATGCTTTACGTCAGTCCTGCGTGATGAGAGTACATGTTGATTGCACTTATAAACATCCACAAATATTTTAATGCCAGTTGTTCTGACCACCCATGCCTTTATTAAGGCGACATCCCGTCCTCCGCTACCCCATGACACTAACTGCACTGACACTGACACTAACCACTGTCTCTCGACTCTGACGATGACCTGGATAGATCCGGCAACCAGACACTGACCTGGCACCTGCTTCTCACGCTGCCAGCCCAGGTGCTGTAAGCTGTTCGTTTTCTGGCTAAGAAACTGTGGCTCCCTGACACTATCCTGGGACCTGCTCCCCCTCTGGACACTGACCTGTGTCCCCCTCCCCCTCCCTCAGCCACTGACCAGGGATCTATATGTCCCCGACGCTGACCTGTGCCTCCCCGTCCTACCACTGACCTGGGACATGGGTCGTGTCGCTGTCACCGCCTGAGAGTCCAAGTCGAATTCTTCCCAGGAGAATCAGCAGCAGCAGTCGCATGGCGCATCGCCAGCCTGTCTTCGTATCACCACAATAAAGACGTCGGGCCAGTCCCGTCTGCTTATCCAGGTCTCGCAGATTTAGTCGTCATTGGATCACAATTCCACTTGTCACGGGCTATAGGTAATTCTTCTATTCACTTGTCACGGGCTGTCTTATATTGATTTATGCTTTGCTTATTCTTCTGGACAGAGGGTTTTAAGCTCGGCCGAGTTTTCACAGGCTGCCAGATGTCTGATGGAGGGATCACTGGTTGTTATATTTACATGACTAGTGAAGTCAAGTTGCTTCTCTTCTTCTACATCCAGCTTCAGGATGACTGGACCTGAGGGCAATATACGATGTTAGTGGCTCCTTACATTTGTAATCTAAATATTGCCCGGATGGCACAGCAGCCCAAAACAGTTAATGATTTTATACAGACTACCGTGGTACAATATGGCACAGCAGATACGATATCTTGATGTGTGGCCACAACGTACAAAACTCGCAGCTCGACAGTTCGGAACTGATTTGCAGATATGGCTAAGGATTATCTGCTACAGTTAGTTATAGTAGTGAAATGGAATGGGCATAAGTTTTCGTTTATCATCCGGCAGATAGCATTGTAAACTGTCGGCATGCGCTACAGAAAAGATGTTTGCCGTCGGTGGTCGTTTGCAAAAAGTTAAGCATTCCCAGCACTCCGTCTCTTACAGTAATATATTTATTTAAGTTTAATGTTGAAAAAGATGTGCAACATAGCAACCCTGCTTTTCTTAGTCCTTTGGAAACAATAATGGCGTTAAGAATTGAAAACTTAAATATTAACCCGCGCCCGGCTGGGAGTCCTGGATTTCCACGCCCTGCTGGGGGGGTGTTTGAACACCCCCCCCCCCTTCTAACTCGGCTCCTGGGCCACGTAGCGATACGCGGAAGGCGGCGTTCGAAAGAGCGTCAAAAATAATGAGGAAATCATCACTTCGGTCAATTTTTGGTCAGGTCAAAGGTCAGGTCACCAGAGGTCATTGAAGGCAAAATTTCGCCGATTTCCAGGTCGAATGTCGACAATTTCCAAGAAGCCAACGCATAACTCGGGAACCAATAGAGCTACAGCGCCGCGGAAAAGTGCATTCGATAGCCCTATTAACGCCCTTTCTGAGTAATTTTCTCAGATTTGACCTAACGTCAACGTTTTTGCCTGCAGGGGGCAAAAACTGCAAAAATAGCCGATTTTTTCGGAAATAGTTTTTCTGCAATAACTTTTGACCCAAGCCTTGTACGAGCTTACTTTTACCAGCATCGTGTTCCTCTCGTCAAGACGCATCGATTGAACTATAACTTGACCTTGAAAGGTCAACTTGAAAATTTGACCTCAGGTCAAGGTCATGACCTGACCGGAAAGGGTCATGTTGCATATCAGTCGATCCGTTTCGTCGAGCTGAACACATCTAAGGCGTTTTCATCGCTCTAGCATGCCTCTATCAAAAGTTATTTGCGAAAAACTGTTAGATACCATTCGTGACCTAAGATGACCTCAGGGCATAAACAGGGGTCACGGACACCATTTTCATGTTCAGTGTGTCTAAACTACTTGTAATTCAGTGTTTGGGAGTGTTTATAATGTCTTTCGTCCAAAAGAGGCGCATTTCAATTTTCTCCCATTGACTTATATAATGGCCGGCCGGTCGCAAAATTGACCTGACCTTTGGTCATCAATATCAAAATTCTGAGATATACATTTTGTAGATGCTATTGCTCTTAGCAATCGCTGAAAGTTTCAAAGCGATCGGTCACTCGGTGTAGCTATGACAGACATTGAAACTTTTATGAGGTGAGGTCACTTCAAGTGACCTGGTGACCTGACCTTGAATGACCTTGGTCTGAAATTTTCACAACATGTGTAGATTTGATGTATGATAAGGTGTACCAAAAACGGCGGCACTCCGCGCCGCCGTTTTTGAGATATTCGCGAAAAACCACAAGGGGGGTGTTCAAACACCCCCCCCCCCAGCAGGGCGCGGGTTAACCAATACTTGAAGTCACATATGTGAAGATGAATTTGATTTTATTGTGCTGTTACTGCAGCTTGCACGTTGTATGTAAAGACACCAAAGTATGAATTACTGGCAGTATAAATACAAATATGGTTGGTCAAAATTTTAATTGCTTGATAAGGGAGCATCAAACGACTCTCAATTCCAGCTATCCCTGAAACTTTTCATGATGAATGATACACGAGTCGTGTTTCTACTGATGCAACTCTGTTCGTGTTCAGTGTTCACTGTTCAGTTCACTAATGTTGACATGTGTTTCCAGTTTCCACTACAAATTCCATTTCCATGCAAGGAACTCATTACGAAACTAGATGAACTTCATAAAACGAGAATGAGAGCACTAACAAGGGTTTCAAATGCAAATCAGCGTCATTGAATAAGCAAAACACTCTCGTGCTACCCTCCCTTCCAGGTAGACGCACCACCAACGGTTTCAAACTACTCAGTGTCCTATGACACCACTATTATACGAGTCGCCCTGTCCTATGACACCCCGACTCCACCGGTGTTCCGTGCTGTGTCCAATCGGCGCTCGCGCAGCCGTGGACGGCTCAGTTGGGCGGTCAATTGGCTGGGTCCGCCCCGGGGAGGCAGTCGGCTGAATTAGGCGCCCATTGACGACGGCACAGCGACCTACCGATGACGCACATGCAGGACATTGCGAAATGAGGATGCAGAAGTTGCTCGGGTTAGGGTAGAAATATAACTGAACGGATAGGAGAGAGGATGAGAGGTCGTTTTGAACAGACGGGTCCAGGCTTGGAGCATATGGCGTCTTATGTGCTGCGAGAGGACGACGGGGAAAACGGCAAGAAATCAGCCAAGCATCATGTAAAGTGCATGTGCAAATATGAGTCTTCGAGTAATAAGATATTTTGCACCTTTGCCCTTCATCTTCTATTCAAGTGTCAATTGTTATGACCATCTATGCCAATGCTGTGCGTCCAACATTTGAACAATTGTATTGCAGATTTGATATTTTTGTGTAGTTTTAAAATAACCACTAGACATTCATAGTCAGTATTCATTTGTCATACATACAAGCAAATAATCCAATCCATCATGCATACCAATATTGCAAAATATGTAATTTGTTATGACAATGGTGGCGCTGGGTATAGTATGCTCATTGCTCCATGCTCATACTGTAATGCATGGATTCCCTAGTGCCTTATAAAGTGACTGAATATTCATCGCCTTACCGATACGAAACTTTGCAAAGTTTGCAAACTTCTAAAGCTGTGTGGCAACGTTACTGACATATATTGTAGACACTAACAGCATTATGGACATCAAGGACAATCTTTAGATGAACTTGTATACGCGCGGGTAATATAGGTACTTACATATACAGCCTCAGCCTCGAGTCGTGAAAAATTGACCAAGACCTGCGTGACAGATGTCGCTTCTTTACAGCAAACAATCTGTACCGTGCGTTGCAACAAACATTAACTTGTTCTTGAGCCTTGAATTACTCTACGTATTACACGTGGTAAGGCCAGTCCTCTCCCACACGAGCCCTAGCGTAATTTCGGTCTGTCACCCGAAATGGGGCTAAATGACTCTGCTGTATTAATAACCCGACCTGAAACACGAGGCATGTGGCGCACACGAGACGAGCTCCGAGCGGCCCAGCACGCCCTGGGGTCTCCCCACCAGGGATGTTTGTCGGCGCCGTGTATTTGTTACACGTCGCTAACGCGCGCGCGGCGCCGACAGTAGCTGTGGCCCGCCGGCCGACCGCGGCGGCCCGCCGCACGCCCGCGCCGGTGTCCCCGGAGAGCTCTGGGCCGAGCGGGACGTGAGGCAGCGGAGCCAGCGCGGACGGCGCCGGCCGCCCTAGTGCGCCTCGTTCGCCGCCGGATGACGCCGTAAACTGAGCCCTAGAGCGGCACCTCGGTGACGATCGTGGTGCAGCGGCGACGATTGTGGAGCGCCAGATGACGGCCGGCGCCGGCTGGTTTTCGAATAGCTGCCGGTGGGTGTTGCGACGGGTGCTGTCGGCGGGTGTTGCGGGGGTGGAGTCTGGTGGGTGTGATGGGTGCGTTGGAACGTGTTGGGACTTTGAAGGCACGATTATGTGGGCGGAAATGCCGTACTCAAATGTGTTACACACTCTGCTGAATAGAGAAGATGGGATATGAACGCAGCAGCGTAGGAAGTGGGCCGAGTTATTTACAAACGATGCCACACTTCTGAAATATTTGGAAAGGTTGGGTTTAATCGGGTCTAGAATAGCGGTGAAATGTAGCTAGCGCTGGGACAGGAGAAAGAGCAAATAACGCAATTTTATGCATGCCAGAATTGAAAAGACGGCAATACAGAAAAGGCTCCACCATCATGCTAAAGATCACAGAGTGGGAGATGGATCAGACTTTCTGTGTCTTTCCATGCCTCCGTCCCCGTCTCGCCGCGGGCGGTGTCTGATGGCCGCTGCTGAGGGCGCCATCTGTGACCGGTCGACCGGGACAAGGGCGGGCGTCAATACACCCAGGCCGAGCCGAGCACAAGTGTCTTTGGGATGCGTCGGCTTGGGTTAGAAAAGGGAGAGACACAAACTGGGACAAGACGTGGATAAAAGATTAGATCATAGCATGGCAAACATGAAGTAAGGACTTAGTAGGTATGGGGTAACGGTGAATTTGCAACTGCCAGGTTATGCCAACTCAGTAGACACCATGTGCAACATGCATTGCATAGTGTATATCAAATAATAAGTATGGTCATGGCACATGTGAGGTGACCATCTATAAAGAACTAAATAGGTTGCACATTATAACAGCCGAAGTTACCTACTACAAATTTATTGATGCAAAAGAATGAGCATGTTCCACTTAAATGATTCGGAAGTGACAGAAGTGAAATTAATCACACCGTTCGCCGTAACTAACATGTCACCTCACATTTTCTCAGAATCGGCACACTAATTTCACTGCACTGGTGCACTGTGTCGGTGCAGAGGGAACAGCAATCTGCCGTCTACGACTGCCGAGGCCCTGTGATGGCACTCGCGGGCTTGCACGCGCGGTGACACCGGTAGAGAGATGGCGTTCGTTACTCTCCTGTGAGATGGACTCGCGTAACAAATGAGCCCGGGGACTTGGAAGCGAAGCGTGAATTTTGGCTCTCGACAGTGCGGTGTGCGGCTCTACCCGATGGACGGAGAGAGTAAGAGAGGACGGGAGAGCACGGATAGAGAGGGAGAGAAATGTAATGTTAAGAGCAGAAACAGACGGGAGATTTCGGATAATTTGTGATATCACTAAAACGTAGCGCTTGAATAA